GCGAGAGACCGCAAAACAGGATCTCGCGATTTGTTCGACAAAGAAGGAAAGTTGTAATCTTTATTTTTTTCTTTGATCTCATTGTAACCGGATCTTATAAAAAGACCGGATCTTTGTAACTGATAAACTGTTAACAAAGTAATCAATGGAATCATTAACGAAGAAAACAGTTTTTCCCACGAACAGTTATAAGTAAGGATGTAAATGGATTCAGATAATCTGAATAAATTCCACATCCGTATCCTCGTGGATATCAATATAATATAAAAGTATCCTAACCATGCAAATTCAAATATGGATAATTAAATTTGCTTTTGCAGATAGAGACATGAATATGAATTATCTGATCTTAGATATATACCCCCAATTCTAAATCTATTAGTTTTTAGACAATGACCACATGCCATTAGACAACCTAAGTCTATTAACACAATTTTGATTCACTTAATCTTTACGACCTTGTCGCTTCTGGTTTCTCCAAATTATTGACTTTTTTTCATTATGATAATTGTTTGCATCAATAGGCTTAATATGCATATCCATCATACTAGAAATCATCAATGCTCATGTCCTTTTTTCGTTTTAGTGGATATGATACTAGATTTCATCTCCAAAATTTATCCATACTCAGATTTGTACTTAATTTTAGGATAAAAAACTTGAGCTTTTTGTCCTCAGGCAACTCCTTCCCAATTCCCATTATAATGTCTGATCAATCTATGAAGTAATCAGGGTTTTAACCTACTCTTGAACTTATACTAGCATTAGTTCTGATGTTGTGATCTTAATTCCATCTGTTTCACCAACCACAATCATGTTGTCCCAATGTGAGGCATCATCATTATTGCTTTCCTAATCATTATTTGTTGCCCCAACCACCATATCGAGATTGATTGTTGTCTATTTCAATTCATGTGCTTTACAAATTGGTTTACACAATCCCATGTTTTTGGATATGCTGGATTTACGTTTGCTAGAAATGCATCTTATCATGTAGGACATAGTTATGTGAGTGCACCTAATAAGTTGATTCTAAATCAACAATCACTGTGGTAAAACTTACAATATTACATAACATGGATATGAGCCTCAAGTATGTGGGTGTCTTAAAATATCCAACACAGAGACCTTGCAAAAAACTGAAAGGACATGGCATATTCCATAGATGTGGGTGCAAGCTAAATGCTTTAAGGGTATGTTTGGGAACTTGGATTTGGATTTGGGAAGTTGATTTAAAATCAAGGGATTTTAAATTTAGGATTTGAAATCCATGATTTAAAAAATCTTTTGTTTGTATATCTTTATTAAATGAAAGGATTTGAAATCTTTGATTTCAAAATCTAGTGTTTGGGTACTTTATTATACATAAATTTAAATTTACAATTGATAAAAATTTATTCTCTTAACTCATCTTGTTTACATCAAATACAATGAAGATGTGTAAAATAGTAACCAAAAAACACAAATTTAGGTAATTTTGGCGATGATAACTACATTTGCTAAGTTTTCAAATTCATTGCCCACCATAACTTGCAAGAGTTTCAACAAAATGAAAATGAAGAAAACTCTACAAACATATCAAGTGTCTTTCAATTTTTCCGTTAACGTACTAGGACATCACTTTAATATACTCTCCACTAGTATCTTTCACAAAGACATCCAATAAAAGAGCAAATGTACCAAACCACAAACCATCAGATGCCAATATATTGGAGTATACTATAAGCCACAATCATTCACCATAGAAGCAAACACCACAACAAGTGACAATGAGAAACAAAAAAGGTGAGACCAAAGCACAACCACCTTCAGTACAATATATCAGCTCACCAATGCAAACACCAAAAGTAAGAAACTTCACAGGAATCATTTGTCCTTATGAAACTTCACAGGAATCATTTCTCAACATACAAAAATAATTCCTTCTACTTCTGGCAATAAGCTCAGAGAACAGAAAAGGCCCAAATAACATCAAACCGAATCCAATATCATTTTGTTTGACTTCAGCTAGAAATTAGTAAGTCCAAGGGAAAAACAGTCACAATTTTAACCCAAGGGCACATCTGCAACAATGTATACTACAGGGGTTGCAATTTAAAAACGATACCACAGAGAGTATATGCAATTAACCCTTACATATAAGCTACAATCATTCGACAAAGCAGCAAGCTATATCAAATGACAATGAGAACCGAAAAAGGTGAGACCAAAGCACAAGCACTCTCAGCACAATATCACGCTTGACCTGCGAAAAAAAACCCATAACGTTGACATTAGAAAAGCCTGAGACTGCTTATGAGAAAAGCACACTGGATATGATCGTAAAAGAATTTGACAGAAGTATACAAACTGGTGCAAACAACAATGCAGGCTCTTGATGGATAAATACCACAGTACAATACCAAGTGAGGTGAACACAGATTGACAGTAGTATACAAAGACATACTTCCAATCTAAAATTTCAAAACTAATCCTGAAAATGAATTCTTTGAAAATTGAAACCTTGAAGACCAAACGACATAGTACGGTAGCAGTTGCCAGTAACAATACTCAGAACAAGAACCCCATCAGATTGTAATGAAGTCAATGTTGTTGTGCGCGGCGGAAGCTTTCTAGGGCAACACTAACAATAACTCGAACTAAACCACAAATAATATGCAAACCACAATCACAACAAGAACAAAGAATTTACGTGGTTGGACAAGTTGCCTACGTCCACGGGGCAAGAAGGGGGAAGTTCTTTCTACTAGAAATCAAGAGAATACAAATAGGGTTACAAATCTCTCAGACCAAACCCTAAAACAAAGCTCTAGATCTCTCAAAGCTCTCTCACAATTGGATGCAACAAACCTCTCTTAGAGGCTGCTCAAAATCGTCCTTCTAATACCCTAACAAATCAGGTTTAGGGTATATATAGATTACAAAACGAAACGGGTCAAAAACCTGAAAGCCCAGCCCAAAACGACGTCGGTCGACCGGCACGGTCGACCGCGATCAATTCCGGTCGACCGGCTCGGTCGACCGACCACCTTCCAGCAGAAACCCAAAAAATCCAGAGAGCTCCTCGTCGACCGCACCGGTCGACCGAAACACCTGCGGTCGACTGGCCCGGTCGACCGACCTCCTTTCTGTCGCACAGTAAGCTTTGTGCACGAATGCGGTCGACCGGACCGGTCGACCGCCGCCTGGTTTGCCTGATTCTTCTGAGTTTCTGTAATTTCTTCAAATGTACCATTGGTATTTCAGCTCAAGAAGCCCTTTTGGGAGGAGACATGTTTTGCACAAGAGTGTTAGTTGTGATAATAACAAATATTTGTAACACCACACATGGAGAATAGACATGAGTAAATGAAGTCCTAAGAAAAAACAACTCAAGTCTACCAGTTTAGGAAACAAAAAGACATTGGAAATAACTGAATTATAACCAGCAAGAAAATAATAGCAAGGTGCAAAACTGATGCACATGACCCAAAGTCATGAAGAAACATCTAATTTAATTTAGAAAGCACATAGAGAATTATAATCACGAGGACAGATATAACAAGCAACAGTAACACAAATGCCATACCACATTTAGTGCTGGAAATACCTCGTCCCATATTTGACCAGACAAATAATAAATTTAATGTTTCTATAGAGCACGCATAATAAGCAAACTGCTGCTTTATCGTATTGTCTATAGAGAAAAAAATCCCAAGAGTATTCAAAGTCACAAATGTTTAAACCCTGTCTGAACTTGAAGTCTCTGAATTTAAATTGAACAAAGAGACATAAATCCATAGTAAAACACCAGAGGGGACATTTATACTAGTTTGTGAGTACTACTTAAACGAGACACAATGGATGGCGAACCGGACATGTACTCTTCATTGGATGCCATTGTCTACTAATATATTGTTGATTTCCAAACTGGATGACAAAGAATATGAACTCTAGCTGAAAAAGGATACAAACATGATGCGAATTTTTCAGCTTCTTGTTTGAATCATAGAATCATATGGGAAAACTAAAAAAATATGTATTTTCTATTTCTAATGCCGAACAATTCCTTACATTTCTAAGTGTCCTGTAAAAAGGTAATACTTCATAAAGATGCAAGAGAGAATGATATATATTTTTTTAAAAGAAAAAACGCCAAATGATACTTCTCCATTCAAATTTGAGACTGACTTTTAATTATAGATACTTCTTCATAAAGGTGATATTTCCTTTATCATTTAATTATAGTATTATAGATAGGTGAAAAGTCCCACCAACCAATCTCTAACTAATACCCTATAAATCACCAAAGTAACCCAAGTGAAACTAAATATCTACAACAAGAAAATAATCACAAATTAAATAATCTTAATACGAAGGACAATGATATAGTTCGCCTAGGATCAAATTATCGTATAGTTTACATACAAATCGAACATAACTGTAATTTAAAAGGTCTAATTTGGGCTACTATGATGAATCAGATGAAAGAATCACAGTTGTAACTTTGAAAGTATATTACCATAATCTTTAAGCTGCAGACACAAAATCTTGATCACACCCAAAATTCCAGTGGATCACTTCAACCAGAACCCAGACAGCCCACCCTCTGATCAACCCTTCCAAATCTCAACCTCAGCCTCAGCCTCAGCCTCAGGCTCCTCCTCCCCTCACTCCCTCAGCCGCTACGAATCGCAGAAGCGCCGAGACTGGAACACCTTCGGCCAATACTGTTGGCCTTCTTGTTTTGATGATGTTTAACAAACAATTTATCACTAATGTTGTTTGTCTAGTATTATTGTGTTATTGCTGATTTATTGTAGACAAACAACGTAGTTTGGAGGATAGATTGGATTGCGCCATAAAATCACAGATCGAACTCACCCCAAATGAGGTTGGACGAGAATTAAAAGGTGAGAGTGTCCAAGCAACAAGTGCAATTTATAGATTAAAAAAGATCAGAGTTCCAAGCTCACTCACCGCATTTGTGTACCGTTGAAATACCCCAAAGTTGAGCTATAACAATGGGGAGATAAAATGATATAAAGAGATTAGTGGTAAATAGTCTAAAACTTTATAGATTTTATTCACTTATGGTTGTTAGAGTAAGTCGCTTGAAGCTCAAAATATTTCTATAACGACACGACACAGTATTTGTAGTTCTATGTCATCTATAGTATAGTTGGATATATAATAATAGCGCTTATTGCATAAATAGAGTTTTTTAGTTTTTTATGGATAGTTAATATGCAACACTATTGACCCCAATAAGTATGAACTTAAAATCACTAGATTGGGAAATACATAATTGGAAACCTGTCCTTAAATATTGTAACTGACGAGCATGTTTCAGATTAAATCGATTTGCAAACATTTCTCCAAAGAGCTTTTCTATCAAAGTATTGGAGATTGATTTGGTAATCGTTACAAGGAACTTACTAAATCCAACAAGGTTTTCGAGAAAATGTTCGGACAGATGTGACGACAATGAGCTATTCAAATGGCAGGCATGTTTTACGAGAAACTGATGAGCATTCTTTAGCGGGAAACTTGAGCCAAGTTGACCAGCAGTTCATGTAAATAATTCTATCGACTCTCATACGAACCAATGTTTATATGCATGTTTTAGAAACTTTCCTCGCAGTTTGTAACTATTTTTTGGATGTTGATTACTGTGGCCTACTTGATTTAATCAAAATGCGTTGATCAACAAAATAGGCCAGATTTTTCAGGAGAACTAGTAGGTTATTTTGTAGGAAGTCTAAAGGACAATATATTTCTCTCAGCATAGAGGAAACATTGATTTTTCAAGAACATCTAGTTCCTCTCGACATAGATGTTTAATAGCACTACATGTCTAGAGAAACACTTCGCCACTGAAAGAGCTGGAGTAAATTACATCAGTAATTTTGGAGTTCATTTACTCATTTTAGGAAATTGATTTTAATCAAAAAATTATATCTCGTGCATGTGCTTAGCTACCGTAAATCCTCCGTTCTAAATAAATCGAAAAGAACGAGAAACTGAACACCTGAGCTTTAGGGGAGGGGATAATTTTGTGCGGCCTGACGGGTGAGAGGAATTTCCCTACATGTAGTTCTGAGAATCAGTAACGTCCGACCTGGCGTTATGCAGGTCCCTTTAAGCCGATCGAGCCGTCTCGGTGGCTCTCGAATACCCAGGTTGGGAAAATGCCCCTTCATGACCGAGCGCATCGAGGAGCAAAACGAGAGGACCTGATCGCACGAGTATTTCGGATCCGACGCCAAAGCGCAGAACCAAGTTGCCAGATTGTCGTTCCTACACCAAGTCTCTTTTCGAGCTGATTCACATGGGGCTTGTTTGTTGTTCTTTTGGACCGTTGCGGGTGATTCTAAGTTGCCTTGAGTATTCTATGTGGATAAAATAGTTCCGCGAATTGCTGATGTAAGGTTTTCAAAGGTTCTCTAATAACTGGACAGTCTGAAGTTCTCTTAATAAAAACACACGAGGCAAGTTTTAACAGCGCTGTTTTGGGTGTTTAGTTTAAACCGATAAAGACGATGTTAAGAGTATTGGATTCATAGATCGGTTGTGAAGATTTGTCAGAAAACTTTTCACAAGGGCTTGAGAGATAATCTCTGGTGTTTGGGCTTCAAATCATTCTCTCCAACTCTTTTCATTGTATTTGGAAGAAGTTTTCTAACTCAATCGTAAGCTTTAACAATTTACTATTTGATTATATAATTGTTCATAAACATGATTTCATATTGAGTTTAGTTTATCTTGGTCCTTAATTGATACGATAACCTTTCAAATGGTTGAACACGTGGATTTAACTGCCATCAGCAACCTTATTGATGTAATCGGGAGGTCCTGGAGCAATTTATATTTGTATTTGCGACCAAATCAGGTCACAGAATCAAGTCTGGTACATAATAATAACTAAAATAATCCGGAGAGGAGTCGTGGGAGGATATCAGGTGCACTAGATGCAAACTCAAGAGAAGAGGCTATGAATCGACAACATACTCAGACTTGTATGTTAGGGTTCGCTCATTCCCGAGCGCACCCAAGAGGCTGCAGTGGCCAGCCTACTCTGGGTGGTCTCAGCCAGAGAGAGCCGCCAGACTTCATTGTGACGGCCTGCGGCTCCACCACATAGGTGGTCGCGGCTACACACTTGTGCTACTCAATGTAGCGACCCACATGTGTGAGCAATCTGGTGGACCCGCCGAGTCCACTTGTGGCCGCCTTCGCTACTGAGTTGACTCAAGGCACAGTGAAGGTACGGCCTATAATAGGCACCCGCCTTGTTAATCTTGGTAAAAAAGTGTTGCAAATGATTTTGGAGGCGGAAGCTCTGTCGATTTCAAGACTTGATCAGATACCGGAAACTTAGAAAGATTGGAGCTTTGGTTACTTCGGGGACTCACTTCTTCCTAGATCTTGGTGCTCCAGCGATCGTCAACGCCAAGAAAAGCAGGTGTTTCGAAGACCAGGATACTCCAGATTCTACGAGCAGGAAGTATCTCGCACCGGGGAGATCTAGTTTGGGTGCTTGTGAGTAGATCTGCCTGGGACGATTCTGGGGACGTTGTTTCTTGGTTGATATCATCGCGGTACTGCTCCGGTCTATTATTCTCCCCTTTGTGAGAATAATACAGCGTTCAGGTTAGGTGCTTAAGTTGACCGGGATCTAGATTCTTCGGGGCTGCGTGGTTCCATCGGCATAAAACCGTGGGCAGTGGCAAAGAACGTCCACACATATGCAAGCCGACCGAGTGCCATAGCGGAGAGGATGTAACAGGAGCTACGCTGATTTGTGATCGACAAACGATCGAGGGACTACAAAGTTGAGGTGTGAGTAATCTTTTCTTTTAAATGTTACTATGTATTTGATTTATCATTTTTGTTTAAGAAGAACCGATCTTATAAAACGACGGACCGGGAGCTTTTTGTAACGCAAGAAGAAGTTGTTTATTTTAAGAGTGCTAAGTGGAATCAATGTATGAAGAATAAGCAATCAAATTTCCTCCATACACTTAGTCGGTGTAGAGTCGGTGATTGCAGCGAGAATGTTGAGTTGTAACAGGATGTAGTGTTTTCCCGTGATATTTATGAACTGAAATTGTTTTAGTAAAGGTTTTGAGGCAATTATTCAGTACTAAATATACGGTTGTGTCGATTAGACAATGATTTGTGTCAAAGTTAGCTATTTTTGGGATAACATGTATATTAAGGAGATTCGCTTATTACTATTCTTGTGTTACGCTTTATTTTTAAATTTCCTAGTTGTAATTTATTAGGTTAAGTGATTTCTATATATATGAAACACCAGGATGGAAGATGAATGATAATGTAAGTTAAGAATTTGGGATATTTTGGAGCACAGGAAAAGAGGTATTTTTGAGGTTTTATTTGTGTAGTCGGTTTGTTCTGGAGCCGAATTTTATTGAGATTTGTGGGAATAGGTAGTATTGCGATGGGTGAGGAGTTTGGAAGGAGCAGTTGATGGAACATTCATGAAGGTCCCAAGTACTTGTTATCCCGTCGCATCTAATCTTTGCTGCTTTGTTTAGGTTAATGAAGATGTAAGCCCTCTTGCTGATGCCCTTCGTCGTGTCCCTCATTGGAACGATTATTGGTGATGTGATTCCATTTACTCGGAATCCCCTTATAAACCTCGCACATTTAAAAATTGGTTGTTTGTGTTTGGGTTAATTGAATTGTCCTATCAGTGTTTGTTTTAGGCCTATAATTCAAATAATTCGCTTTTGATTTGATTTCTCGTGAGCTACATTTGGTTTGGTTGTTTTGGCGTTCCGCCGACGCTCCACATAATAAGTTCATGTACATATATGATCCCCCTCCAGACTAATTTTTTCTCATCTCTTTATTTTCTTTCGCTTATTATTGATTTCTCGTTTCTTCTTTCATTACTTTCTTGTCATCTTGGAATGATCCTTTGTCTACTTGAGTGCCTTACACATAAGAAATTAGGGTGTGGTGGTAATAACTCTTTTTATATGTTGGGAAGTATATAGTTATATTATAGGCCGGGTTTGTTTAATTACTGTTGTGATGTGTGCTGTGAGGTAGATGGGGCTATTGGATCTAAACGCTATTTTATCAATACTCCTCTGTATCATCTTCAGCAAACGCCGTTTCCTATTCTTGGCTCGGGCTACGACTTATCTTTATGTGATTGAGTATATGTCTGCATAATGTGTACTCTCATGGATTGTTTCCTCCTGTGTATATTGCACTTATGATCGACTATTTATAAGAGCTTGATTAGACTTTCTTTGTTGACGTAGCGTCTTCTTCTTGGGTTCGATCTACTATCAGACGACTTTGTATACCATTCTTACTTGTATGGTCTGAGCGAAGACATTAGTAGTTTCGCTTTCAATTAAAAAGATTTTATTCAATTCTGGTTAGCTTTAGCACTTGGGAAAACTCTTTAATCTTTGATGCAAGCCACTGGCAAAAGGATAAAGGTTTTTCGAGAGTCAAATACGACATACACTTACGCACGTACGATGTATGAGCATACGTCCCTAAGTTATGGGATCACATATATCTCCAATCCTCGTTTTCTTTCACTATGCATACCAATTCTAGCAC